CATACTACATAAATATATACATATAAATATACATATATCAATATATATGCATATTTATACATAAATATACATATACATTAAATATATATATATATATATATATATATTATATATTATAATATATATATATATATAATATATATATATTATACATTAAAATACATATATGAACATATATATTATACATATGTATATGTACATATGCAATATATATATATATATATATATATATAATATATATATTATATATATTATATATATATATAAATATATATGTGTGTGTGTGCCTGCCTGCCTGATGAGGTTCCCAGAGAGATCAGTTAGATTTATAATGCTATAGCTTCAGTTTCAGGTGTAACTGTATCGAGACGTGAACGATCGGGTCGGGTACGGAAGAGGACTCTGCCTACTTGCTTTTGGAGAGTTGTGGGTGGTAGAAGGATGGGGACGTGTGGAACAGGGAGTATTGTTGGGTGTAGTATTACGGAGAGATGGAGAATAAGGCTGTAAGGTAGTAATAAGGGAAAATGTGGTGATTGTTGAAGAAGGTTGTGAGGGTAGTAGAGGCAATGAAGTTGAGGAAGTTAGGAGAGTAAGGAGTCGACTGGATAATGCACTAGTAGGCATTGAGGAATGGTAGTAGTTGTAGTCTTCAGAGTCGTGTCAAAGGAGAGCCTGGGTTGGGGAGCTGGAGAGTTTGCATTGGTGGGGCTATTTGATGAAGGGGTAAGCATCATTGCCTCTCATATGGGTATTACATTTCATTACTGGCCATGGGATGCCTTGACAATGTTGCGGAAAATAAAGTCCACGCCTTAGGGTCCCCTGTGGAGTAAGGGCGTAAACAAAATACAGGGAATACCATGCATGGTTCCCTCAGGCCGTTCAGGACTAGCACAAAGTCAGCCTTTCATCCTTTCAGCACGACTCTTACACCTTAGGAAGTAGATAGCAGAAGGGGTTGGAGAAGGGATGGAAACAAAAGAGCTGGAGGGAGAAAAGACCATGAAACATTAGTTGAGTTGAGGGCTGGGGCCCTAGGCAGAGGAGATCCCAGCATTGAGCCTCAGTCTCCGTCTCCTAAGCCCCCCCCCCCCACCCACGACAACAACAGGCAAGGGATTGGAGGGGGGGAGTAGATAGTAAAAGGGGTTGGGGAAGGGACGGAAACGAAAGAGCAGAAGAGAGAAAAGACCATGCAAAATTAGTTGAGTCGAGGGCTGAGACCCAAGGTAGGGGAGATCCCCAGCATTGGGTCCCAGTCCCCGTCTCCTAAGCCACCCACTACAACAACGGGCAAGGGATTGGGGGGGAGGAGGAAAAGGAAAGGAGATGGAGAAAAGTTCGTGTAAAATTAGTTTAGTTGGGGTACAAGTTAAGAGTGATACCTAACACTGGGCTTCAGTCTCCGTCTCCTAAGCCCCTACGACAACGGGCAAGGGATTAGGGAAGCTCATTCACGTACATGTGCCGATTGTAGTGACTCCCATAATGTATTTCATAAAAGGTGCCCTGCCTACAAGCTTGAATCTGAGGTAGCAGTTCTCAAGCTACACCTTACTCTATGTGAGGTTAAGACAGGAAGCTCTATCTTTTCCACAACTGCCCTCCAATCTTCTCAAGATGTCTCAGCATCTCTCCCCCTACCCAAACTATCCTACCTCTACTCCCCTCTCCCAGTCAAATTCCTTTCTCAGTCTAATCTGAATACTCCAATCACTACCACATCCTCAATGCCTGCCCTTCCTCCTCACTCTACCTGTCACACCAGGCAACCTAAATGTTTCACTCCATATTCTACCACATACTCTCGTACACCCTCCCCTCCCTCATCCATCCTCCAATCCCTCTGTTCCTATTCCCTCTACATTTAAAGTATTTGCCAAAAGCCAATCTCAAGTTCCCTCACCCTATTTCCTCCAAATACATCCCATCTTCCCTCCATGTGCTTTGTTTTCTTCGTTCCACATTATCCTCACTACTCCCAACTGGATGCTCCCATTAATCAATCTCATTTGTCACAAATGTCTTTTTCTGGATCCCTTCCCTCCTGCCATTCTCCCTAATACTTCATCAGTTCCCACATTTCATTTCCTGGATTCATCTCCCCCTACTTCTCTAATAGCCATCTTTACCCAAAATTCCCGTTGATGGCTGGTGACAGTTTCCCGTTTACGCCTAGTTTTTGGGCAACATTAGGAACCAAAGACTTTATATTATTATATGATTTTTAACAATTCTAAACATGTAGGTTTACCTTCAGTTTAGGTGCCATTGTCTAAATGTTTCACTATGCAAATGATCCTGCTACTATAGGAGAAAATAAATACTGTTTGATGAGCACAATTGGTCATGATGCAATGTCACCTGCTACTTGGTCCACAACAGTCATGGCATGTACATACTGGGTTAAACAATGTTTCTCTTCCTTCCATAGCCACAGATACTCTCCATTTCTCTATATCATCCAATTGCCCTCCACCCTTAGCCCCCTCCTTTCTTAATGATCTCCACTTTCTTTCATTTGTTCTCTCTCTTTAATCTTTTACTACCATACACTGCTATAATGCTCTATTACCTCCAACAGCTAACACATTTTATCCTGAATGTTAACATTTTGAACCTTTTCTCCACTAATACTTTACCATAGTGCTATATAACCCTTAACGTCTGGCACATCTATTTCTTTCAACCATTAACCATTACATTTAAAGATCACATTTTAAAGTAAATGTACAATATTTTTAAAAATCCTGATCATATATGAAATGAAATTTGCAGTGGCTTGAAATGTAAGATAGTTGCCAACCTCCATATCCACATCATTTTGACAGTACAAGAGAAATATAACTTGAAAGTTTATATCCTCCAGCTACTTTGCTATCAAAAGTATTTACAGGTATTTACAGCCAATTGTGCTATATGTTTAACAATTTACATTTATCAATTTACATGCTTCTCTAAGACTGTCAGGAAATATACTGTTAGCACAATGTATTCTCTCAGCATTTCTGTTATTATGAGGCCCTCCACTTTAGAAAGAGGATTCATGCCCTAGGCCAAAACAATTTTTTGTTGGATACAATTTTCAACAATCCTCCACATGCCTGTAATTAGTACATCCCTATTTACAAGAAGAAATATAGCCAAAAACTTTGCCTCCTTATTCCAATCTGGGAATTGTGATGTTGACTGTAGTATTGATTTGTGAAATGTATCTACACATAGATGGCTCCACAAGTACTCAGCTACAAGGGAGTCAATTAGTTGTCTACATGACCTTAGTCTACGTAATTGAGTTTTTTTACAACTGTTAATATCAATGCTGTTATTATTATTATTGACATTATAAACATTACAACATTACTATTATTATTGACATAATGAACATTACAGCATTATTAAGAAAAGTACTAGTGATACAAGACAAAAACTATTTTGCCAAAAATCAAGGGAAACAGGTGAGATGGGTTGGACTAGTACCTGAACTTAGAGAACTTGGTACTTCTGGAACCATTTATTTGTAAATACAATTAATATACAAAATTCTGTTTAAATATTGAAAAGTATAAATGTGCTTAGAAAAAACAATAACAAATAAAATATAAATATAGATAAAACAAAATAAAAATCAAGGTTACTCAAATGTTTACAATCTTTGATCATGTTCTTCACCATTTGTCTTTCTGGCACAAAAATATAATCTACTGTGTATTTATACAATACTTAGGCTAAATAATACGAAGATCAGAATTAACATTTTTTGCTATTCCTTTTATATTCAAAAAACTTTTCTTGGACAACTATTAGCTACTATACAAATTTTGTTCAGGTAAAATACTGTGTTCCTGAAGGACAAGCTTGAAAATACACTACTAACATTAGATATTAATTCCAATCACATCATTTCAGTGCCTCATTTGTTTTGTTTGTATTACTCTTTATGCTGATGTGCATGAAGCATATATACAAAAACTAAGGACTGACTTTTAGTTTAGGTACTAAGTGATACAGATTTATAATTTTTATTTTTTGTACCTGCCTAGTGCCATTACAAACCTAATAAATTGAAACTGGGAATCCATGTATACATGCTTTGCCCACTCGTTCCATCTTAACAATTTTATTTACACACTGTTGGCTCCCTCCTTAGTCACCAAGGAGTCCATTACAAGACCTACGAGATCTCACCTGCTTACCCCATTCCTTTAATTTCTGGAAGTTATTATTATCATTACATTTAATGTTAATAACAATAATGATATGATGCTATCAATAACAGCATTAAGAATTTTAAAAATCCAAAAATGGGGTAAATAGATGAGATCAGGCAGACCTAGAAATTGACTCCCTGGTAACTACATGCTAGTGAAAAGTATAAACAAAGTAGAAAAAAATAAGCAGGACAAGGAATTTAAATAGAAAAGAAAAAACTAATCTGGACAGTGTACTTATACTATATTTATACTCTTTTACAAACAATTTCCTTTCTCTTTCTCACATACTATCATCTTTTTACGTAGAACAGATGCAATCAGTGTATCTGCTTCTTTGAAAATGATGATAAAAAAGCTGCAGCTTTGTCTTGAATAGTCTCTGCTAACAAGACAATAATGATTTATTTAGATACAATAAATTTCAAAGCTTGATTATCTTACACCAAAATAATAGTTTTAATACTAGGAGTGATGCAAAGTCAAAGCCCTGCACAAAAATTATATATCACAACCCTGCACAGAAAAAATATATACATTGACGCATGTGTGTTTTCGTATATTCTATCAATATATGGAAATATGATTAACTCTGGAGAAAACAAATAAATATGAGAAATAAAATATCCTTAACCTTTGGTTTCTAATCTGGAATAAAATTACTATGGAGTGTATGGAGGAGGAGGGTGCCCTTCAACTGGTGGGGAGGCTCCATATCATGTAGGTAGGGCATGTAGGGTCCTAGGGAACTACCTGGAGGAACAGAAAAGGTCTCCATGCCCTCTAGGCCACCCCACTCTTCTACTAAGGGAGCTGCATCCCCATCCTGGAAAATGTGTGCTGGTCGTAGCCAGCTGCATCCCACAGAGACATCACAGACATACCACCTGTTTAGAAATATGGAATATTAAAATACTTACAAAAAAATTGCATTCTTATCTAGATAAAATTATAAAATAATGCAAACTTTTATGAGATTACAAACTGGTTTTATCATGATCTTATGATCCAATGTTATACCTGCAAATATGAGAAGGTAAAACCCAACATCTAGCTTAATCTGCACTCTAGCAGATGCTGCCGGTCCAGTCACTGGCTTTGTGGCCTCTTGTTGTGTTTCTATCAAGGTAGTAATGTAGTAGCATACACCAACGCACACTACACACACCAAAACTGGAAAAAGTCATGTCATGAAACCCTAGCTTTATATGCTTTTTAACCAAATGTTGGCATGAAAATGTGATATTCACTGTAGTATTGTTTTGTGAAATTTATCTACACAGATGAACAAGGAAAAGATTAAACAGGTGAGATAAGTGGAATCGATGATTTACTCCTTTTTGACTAAGTACATGTGGAGCTATCTGTGTATAAATACAATTAGTAAATTAAACTCAATATGGGTATGGCATGTGCGTGCTGTATGCCATCTCCAGCAGCATCAGGTTAATTTTCTTTTGTTCTGAATTTTGTTCCAAATTAATTGAGATATAACATTTAAGAGGCCCTGTTTTGATCATATATATTGCCTTTTCTACTGATCATTACTTGAATATTAGTTTCTGAATTCCATATTGCAAATAAATCAAGATTAATGTAAAACCAACTAATCATATATTCATATCTTAAAAATGTACATTTTTAGTAGCTTACCTGATATAATCCCAGCAACTGCATTTTTTCTGATGCACTTAAGAACTCTGCCTGTTGGGCCAGTTATGTCAAGCATCATTTGAATTAATGATGTGCAAATCATCACAAAGATAAGACCAATTACAACTCTCATCAAGGTTACGATTTCGGGAGTCACACAATATTTCAGCTCTGAAAAAAGAAAAGATAAAAGATATTCCGCTTAATAGCTTTCCCCAACTCGTATGTACTCACATCTTCAAATCTAAGTCCCTGCATATATAAAGGTCCCATAAATATCAAATGTGAAAAATATTTTATACATCAACACAGAGACATTGTCAGTTTTGGAAATGTGGTAACTGCCCAGTGATTATTTAATCTGAATTATCAATAACCCCATTTTTATGTCTTTCGATTTAGACTTTACATACCAGCATATCATTTAGAGTATCACTTAGTTTTGAAGAACATTGTAATATCTGTACATAATGTTTATTCTTCATATTCATTTGTTTCAACTTCTGAATTTGTATTAAAGTAATTGGTGTGAAGTGTGTCTTGATGTGAAAAATTATTATCATCCTAGTTATTAGACTCAAGGGAAATCTTCTACCTCCTTGAACTCAAGAAACCCTCTTTTAGGAGCCACAACATTATCTTTATCAATTCATCCCTTGGAATCAAGCTGATGATTTATTTTAAAAACTTATTTTCTTAACAAGGCAACAACATTTTGAGGCGAAGAAGCCTGATGCTGGGTAAGAAATGAAGCGTATCGACATGTTGATCATCCATTAGAAGTAGGAGCTCTTGTCAAATAAATTTTTATAGATTGAAGATCTTCATGACAAGAGGGTGTTAGAGGGACCCCTTTGTGGAGCTATAAGGCTGCAGGAATGACAGAGATGTGTTGGTCAAGATTTACTAACAGGTGAAGCAAGTCGGGAGGAGACATCAATGCTGTCTCCATCCGAGGGAATTTCCCCAGTTCCTAAACTACTTACCATCCAAAAGGGGTGAGATGGCATGTGAAGTTTTCCTCAGGAATCAATATAAGGTCAATTTAATAATTTTGTGCTTTAGTTATTGTCTGGACCACATGCAATTAAAGTGATCATTCATGTTATCAATTTTAGACAAATTTTGCAAGTACAGATGACTCACCGAATATGAATACTAATCAATTTCAAAAATTAAGATTAATGAGCTGATATTTCAAGAGGGTAATTTGTTCCTTTATAGGTTTTTTGTATGTGTGTTAAGACACCAGAACACACATGTGAGCTCTAAGGGCTTCCTTAATAACCACCCAACACATTATGGCAAAAATATATTTGTATAAATATTTTGAGCTAGATTTTTTTTTTTTTTTTTTTTTTTTTTTTTTTTTTTTACCTCAAAATGTGGAATATCTGGCACATTACGAAAAAGAATTTTTGAGGTCATCTAGCTCTCCCTAAATACAAATTTTATTTGATAATATCAATTTAATATAGTTATCTATCAAAGGCTCTAATCATCAGATGGTATAATTGGGTGGTTTGCCAGATATTTTCCCAAACCAACATTTGATTTATTGGTATCATAAAACAAATAATTTGGGCATTTTCTGTGAATCATTTTTTTTCTAAAAGAAATATCACATTGCAAA